CGGGAGCGGCTGGGCCCCCGGCGGCGCGGTCCTCGGTCTGGCCGGGAGTCGCGCCAGTCGGAACGCCCAGGCGAGCGCCGCCAGCCTCCCTCTCAGCGTCCCTCCTTGCGGAGTGCAACCAGCGGGCATGAGCGATCCACCAGAGGCTCCGCCACCGGCTCCGGTAGGCCGCGGGTAAAGAAGAAAGGCCGTCCTCGCTCGACCCGGAGCGAGAAGGGGACCCGGCGCAAAGAGACGACCCAGGCCGACGAGGCGGCCAAGGGCAAGCAGGCAACCAGGGCCAAGCAGGCGTCCCGGAGCAAGGACAAGGAGGTGACCACGGCGGAGGAGGTGGCCGGGACCAAGGAGGTGGCCGGGACCAAGGAGGTGGCCGAGACTGAGGAAGTAGCCAGGATCGAGGAGCTGCCCAAAGCTGAGGAGGTGGCCCGGGTCGAGGAGGTGGCCCGGATCAGAGAAGTGGTCCGGACCAGAGAGGTACCCCGAACCAGAGAGGTGCCGCGGACGAGAGAGGTGCCCCGGGCCCGACAGCTCATCTACACGGCGGAAGTGATCCTGCCTGCCGATGTGCCCCAGACCGCGCAGCTGACCCAGGCCCCGGAGGTGACCCAGGCCACGGTGGTGATCCAGCCCGAGGAGGTAACCCAGCCCTGGGAGTTGACCACCGCCAAGTTGACCCGGAGCGAGTACATGATTCCAATCGAGGTGGCGACCCAGACCGAGGACATGGCAGCAAGCGGGCTCAACGTGACCGTCACCCACAGTGAGCGCCGGGTGGCCAGGGGGGTGGGCTCGAAGTGGGGTTCTGAACTTGGCAAGCGTGAAGCATAGATTCTTAACTGTGTCGGTGGGGCTGGATTTTTTTGTGGGACTTCTGTGAACACACCTTTCCTTGTGCTTGGTGTGTTTTGCATCTGGTTATTTGTTGTATTGTCCATGTTGGAGCGTATCTGAATATCGTGAGTCTAGTTGTGTGGGTGTATGTGCCTGCCTGGTTGTTGTGGGTCTTAGTGTCACGCTTGTTTGGGGCCATGTTATGTATAACTGCTGTGTGTCCGCACACCTACTTGTGTGCTGAGACTAAACTTTGGTAGGCTGTTCTTACTGCCGTCTCTTGTGTTGATATGGTGCCTTATCTTCTGTTTGTGTGCCACGCGTTCAAGCATTACACTCAGGGCAACCTCCTTAGGGTTGACACAAAACTAGACAGAATCAGTACACTTTACCCCCTTGACCTCATGGAGCTGTTGGAGGCATCAAGGCTTGGTGTCATTTGCTGGACACAGACAGACTACCTCCTAAAGGTCACCTACCTGGAAAAGAGTTGGTACCTTCCAAACAATATTTTTTGTTTTCATTTGTATTTGCTAAGCATCACCTATGGTGTTCCCAGTGGGAAAGATTTGAAGGAAAACAGTTCATTGATGATTACTCAGGGAAGACCAGTCCACCAGGCCACAGGAGGCAAAGCATATGATGAAAAGTAGGGTTTTGGAATGAGCTGGATTTAACGTCAAATGTTGACTTTATCAATTGAGTCTCTACAGGCAAGTCTTTATTTTGCTTTTGTGGGGTTTGAACTCAGGGCTCACTAGAACCCTGCCCCCAGCCTAGTAGGCAAATCTTAATTAGACTGAACTAACTACTAATTATCGTTTTTAAAATTATCAGCTTACATTAGTTATACAGTGAAGGATTTCATTGTTACATATGTTTACAATATTTTCCAGCCTTACTCTCTCTATCACTTTCCTTCCTCCCTCAACAGGCTTCATTACTCTGTTTTCATAGTTGAAAACAATCTATTTCCACCACATTCATCCTCTTGTTAGCACTACCCATTTCGACCAGTACATCCCTACCTCTTATTCCCCCACTCCCTACTCATACTCCTTACTTCCTCTACAGCTCTCACCCACATTCCCACAGAGCCTATTTCTCTTTCTTCATCCTTCATCCCCCAGTTCGTTGGAGTTTTTTTGTTTTGTTTTGTTT